CTGGCAAAGCAGCCTCGTTAGCAGCATCCTATTCAAAATCCCCAGAGGTGTGGAAGCCGGATCGCTTGCCCGCCGCAGGTGCAGCCGCATCTCTTGCAAACAATATAAAATCTCCAGAACCCTGGAAATCAGGCCCATTACCCACCGCTGCCGCAGCGGCACTCCTAGCAGGCGACTCGAAACCACCAGAGGCCTGGAGACCGTCTACTCCCTCTAAATCGGCTTCTCAAGCTGCTACGAGCGTAAGACAGAGAGCGCATACGATGCCGGAATCGAAACGGCCGCCGCTGCAGTCGCCGCAGCTGCAACCCCAGCAATCGACCGCAAGCGCCCTCGCGGCAGCAGGTATTGCGAACTCGCCGAAAAAGCTCTCAAAACCCGCTCCGAAGTCGCCACCTACACCGGCATACGATATCAGTAAAATCAACGCTCTGGCAGCACAGAATGCGCAAACCCGTCTTTCTGCCGTTTCGCAACCTAGATCTGCGCTTCCGCAATCACAGACGGATAAGAATATGTCCGACATCCTTCGTGCGGCTAGCATATCCATGGCGAAGAATATGAATAAATCCCCCCCTCCGGCATCGAAGGCAACCACATCGATGCCACCGGGGAGCTACTACTCACACATCCCAACTTCACCGAAGAAAATCCCGGCACAGGAGCCAAAGTTGAATAGGAAATCATCGACACAGGCGGCTTCGATCGCTGCTTCTAGCGACTTGCATTCCGTTATATCCGCAGACAGTGATGATAGGCAGGTAAAGTACTACCCACATCTGGAGGAAGCCGCTAGAAAAGCTGCATCGGAGCGTTTGGCACGGCTCCAGGCGGAACACGATCGGGCTAGGAAAGCTTCGGGTCTACCGCCCAGCTGGCAGGCAGGCGGGGTCCCCACCACCACCCGTGCTCGTTCCTCGACCGCCCCTTCAAGTACTCCCAAGGCGGCGCAATCTTCGAAAGCAGCGACTACAACCGGTGCCACCGCCCGCCGCCAACCAGATGCAACAGACTACGCCCGCTCTCTAAAAATAAAATCCGACACGGCAAAACTGACAAAACAAATAGACTCGGTCGACAAAGATCGCCAAGCACGAGATTACCTCGCCATCCTCGCCGTTGCAGAAAAGAACGTAAAAGCCCGCATGCAAGATCTGGAAACCAAAGTGGCCGAAGACCAAGGTCGTGTTCCGAAACACCTGCAGGCGGAATGGGATGCAAAAGCGAAGATGTTAAGTGCCGAGTACGAGAGAAAACGGGCAGAGGAAAGCGAGAAGAAGAAAGGAAAAATCAACATGGGTGGTGGCTTGTGGTACGATCAAGAGGATTTGGAGAGGATCGCGCGGGGGAATGTGCAGCCAATTTTGGATGAGATCAACGTCAAGGCTGAGAAGGAACGGGCGAGAGTCGAAGCCTTGAGGGTTGAGAAGGAGGCGACGGATCGTGAGAGGAAGGCTGAGCAGGAAAGGGTTGCGGGTGTCAAGGCGGAGACTAAGAAGGCTAGAGGTTTGTTGACTTCAATTCTCTTTATGGAAGTTATTGAGACTGATTCGATTTGTATTAGTCTTGGAGAAAGCGGCAGCGAAATCCCGGAGAGACGCCGAGAAAGCAGAAGAACGTGAACGAAAAGCGGAACTCAAGAAAGCTCAGCGGGAAGAAAAGGAACGACTGAGGACCGAAAAGCAAACCCAGAAGGCTGCTGCCGTCCCACTACCAGCCTCAACATCGAATGTCGAAGAGAATGCCGGCGTGGGAGCAGATAACAACTCAGATATGGAGGAACTGGAACCACGTCCCATGTCGCAAGCAGGTCACGACCGAGTCGACCGCGAACGAGAAATGCACGAGGCAGCTAAAAAGGAAAAGGGGTGGTTTGGAAGCCTTCAGAAAAGACTTGCGAAGAGAGTTCCTGGGACGAAGAAGAAAGAGAAAAACGTCGTTGGCGGGGAGGTAGCTATGCCGCAGGTTGCTGAGGTGGATGAGTTTAATGCGGACAACCAGAGTATTTCGTCGATTTCGTCACCCGAGCGTCCGAATTCCGCAAGGGATGTAGCGTTAGCCGGTACGGTCAGTGTGGTTTCATCGGATGATGAGGTAGAGCCTGCTGGAACTGTGTTTGTTGGCGGGGCCGGGTTGGAAGCCGTTGATGCTACTACTAGCGTCGCAGCTAGACCTAGATATGTTGATTCCGATTCGTCGAGTAGTAGTTCTGGAGATCTATATACTGCGGAACCGAGGTATAAGGGGCTAACATCTGCTACCTATAATCCTGGCACTGAGGATGAAGGACTAGGGATGCCGGCCTTTGTTCCAGAGACCAGTAGGAGATACTCGACTAGCTCAGACTCCTCACTCGAGAGCATTAGTGGTGGAGTCGCGGAGAAGACCTTCGGTGAAGAGGCGGGTCCGTCTGTAGCTGCAGAAGGGACAGAAGGAGAAGGGAGGGAGACATTCGGAAATACACTTTCGGGAAAAGTCAAGAAGTCGCTAGAGGAGTTTGCAAAGGCTGGAGGAACAACGTCCGGTATAGCGGTTCAAACCTCGATACAAGAAACTCCCATCACGCAAGTTGAGCCGCCTACACCGATCGAAGAGCTTAAGGGACCTATTATGCCTGCCGCTGCTGCGGAGGGGAGTTCAAGGGGTTCGATGGATAGCACGCGGGAGAAACGGTCGAGTCGGTTTAGTGAGATTTTGTAAATGGTACCAACACACGGGTAGTACAAGCACTAGGGCTTGCTTCTGTACCCCTTTACATACGACTTTTATGGGTGCGGATGGACTGTATCGCTTTCTGCTTTTCTTTTTCTAGCCTTATTTTTACTACGGCCGTACACGATGGGAGCTTGAATTCAGCGTTTGCGATTGATGGACTTTTATGATTCGATGTGATTGGTATGCTAGGACCTTAGGAAAGACAACAAGAATACATAGGCTTTTGATATATATACTCTGCAAGATTATATACTATACTTTTGTTCGATCGGGAGCTATAGAGGCCTAGCGTAAACACCAAACTATCACATCTCCCTTCCGCCTCCCATCGTCGTGGAAATGACTGTTAAAAAATCTCTTACACTCTACATACCTCGCCTCATCCCTTCCGATCCTTAAGTAGCCCTGTATGAACTGTGCTGTGGCCTCGAAGGTGATCAACTTATCAGGCCATGCCACCTTGCCTTCTTCTTTCTTTTCTTCATCTTCGGGTTGGGATTTCAACGGCGGTGGCCCAAACCGATTATACAAGAAATGAGTAGGATTATTATAAAACTCATCCGCCTCGTCGAGGTATTCTTCCCTTTCCTCGACAGGAATCCCAACAGGCGGCTCACAGGTTAAAAACCACGCGCTGTTTTCACCTTCATTTAATCCAGCATCCCATATGTAGCTTCCAAACGGGGTAGAATGACAGGGCATCAAGAATCCAACTTTCGCGCCCCCGAGGGTTATATTTTGCGATTGCGAAGAAGGGGAGTAGTGTTCCCGTCTCAGCCAGTGGACTACATCCACCACACCCCTCTGGTGTACATACCCCGTGTAATATGCTATGGGGATATTAATCCCCACCATGACTACTGCCCACCATTTCCTATTTTGCTTGGGGATAGACGGTACACCCACCCCAGCCATTAAAACGTGGAAAATAGGTAAAAGGGGGTATAGAAATCTGACTTCCTTGTGTTTCGCTACGACGGTGAATGCGACGGGGACTATTGCTAATAACCTGACTAGATGCGTCGTTGGGGAGTAGCTTGACGGATCATTGAGGCCGATTAGGAGAGAATAGATCGATAATGGGAGGTAACCGGTTAGTAGGAGGGGTAACCCCTGGGAGTAGTAGTAGTGCCACGGACTTGTGCCGTAGAATGTTGAAATAGACTGTGTGATGTTCAATCGATAGAATTCGACGAATGGAAGTGTCGGGCGGTCGTAGAATGTATAATCCACCACCGCATTAAGTGATAAAATCACAATACTTATCGCAAGAATATGCAGAACCGAGCGGAGACGTTGGGAGAAAGTGGGGAGTTGGTGAAGGATTAGGGGTCCGATTGACCATGTTATCAGCCCGTTAGTGGGACGAACAGTGAACGATACTGCGGCGAGGATGCTCGAGATCGTTATGTCACAGGAAGAATAGGCTTTCCACGGCCAGTGGTACATTCCCATTATTGTCAACGTTGTCTCCAGACAGTTTGAGAATGTACGGGTGGAGCAGAACCAGTTCCAGGCGCTGAAGATGCTCAACAATAGCTTTTGTAGATATATTTCGTTAGCAGTTGTTCGGATATATTATGGGTAAGGGAAACTTACAGCATATGTCCCGGCCTCCTTGCCGTATAACTTCCTCGCGAGAAGACCGGTGTATACATCCCCCAAAGCGGCGGTGATGGCACCCACGATCTTTGGGGCGACGACAAGAAGTTCTGCCGTCGTCGCTGGTGAGAGATTGAATGTATTTGATAATACATCTACGATGTTGTAGACCCCCTGAAAGATTCGAGGGTATAGCACCGATCGTAGTGCATGGTGCCATTCCTAAACGACATTGTCAATATATTTTCCTTCTGTAGATGTGGGACTTGTAGAGAGGTTATTATTGATATGCATACCCAAGTAATATACCCGCCCCCAGCAGCCCTCTGACTAGCCGCGATCTCGAGCGACTGGAAGTACTCATCCGGCTGGAAGAAAGTTGCAATTGTCAGGGCGTTTTGAAGTCTGATCCCCAAAACAATTAGGAATACGAAGAACGGCGTGTTCTTCGTTAGTATCGACATCGTATGTTATCCCCCTATCTTTTATCCTATCCATGAATGTAATGGATAGGTATAATTTGAGGAGTGCGGAGTGAACGCGACGACGTGGTTGCAAGTTGCTTCGTTGAGAGCGAAGCGTGTTGTGCTTGCCAACGCATCATTCCGGTTTGTAGTTGTTTGACAGAGAAAAACTGCAAAAAGTGCTTCATTAGGGTCGGGAGAGCAAAAAGCAAAAAGAAATTCCGACACCGGGAATCGAACCCGGGGCTGTTCGGATCGCAGATAACCAGATGATTATCCATGAGAGCGAACGATGTTAACCACTACACCATATCGGATGGTTATTTGATGTAACGTTTTGCGGATCCTTACTACTTATTGCGTGTAGCAGCATAAAGCCACGTTTTGCAACAACTTACCATATAGCAATTTGCGTTGCGTCAGTCCTTTTGGAGGGCTCGGGAGGGCTTCCTGTCAATTGCTAGAGTATCTAAAGAGGATTTTATATCTTATCAATGCTAAGGGTAACTACCTAGATCCTGGATATCAAGATTGGTTTGAGAGGTGGTCCTGTACTCAGATCAGCTCTAGGTTAGTCAACTAACTCGTGAGTATATATATATCATCTAGCGGATCTAGTTCGAATCGACCACATTACACTAAAGCATGCTATGGGATCTATGGAGCTACTCTATTAACCAAAACTACTTTATCAACGTATGTACATCCAAAAATATACTACACAGCTTCAAATCTAAATATATTAGAGTAAACCTCCTCGGCCCCCGCAGTTGGTACCTTCCAGCCTACGTATCGCCATCGGTCCACCAGCTTCCACCCCACAGGCGCCCCATACCTATCCATTTCATCCGAATGATTAAATCCGCACATATAATCCCTCGATTTATCCCTCTGTATCTTCTCGTAAGACTTTGGTATTTCATCAATCGTAAACGTAACTGAGAGCCTCGCTAATTGAAAAACTCTTGATAACACCAAATATAGCTCGTTTATGTCCAGAAAGTGAAAGGCGCTAATGCATACTATATGGTCTATCGGGGAATTGTATGTGATCAATAGCCGCTGCATAGGGCCCAAAATGACGCTATCGTATAATCTATTTTTCATGCACTCGGCCCTCATTTGTGATGACACATCCATTCCGATAAATTTCGTTTTGTTGTTCGGGTTTCCGTGAAGGCGTGCTACTATTCCAGTACCAGAGGCGAGATCTAAAACTACGCCGTCGAAATTATATTTCTTGATGATAGTCTGGACGCCGTCCGCGTATATCCCAACTGTTGCCTTGTCGTATAAAGGCGCGAGTCGATCGTATTCCCTGCCTACTTTACGAAAGGTTTCGGCGCCCCGGTTACGTTTGAGGCAACAGGACGCGATAAGGCAGTGGATTAACGATCGATAGCTTCCCGGGAAGAATTTCCGAATAGTATAAGCCTCAGCGGCGAGGTTCCGGCCCGAGGCAGTGAACGGGAACATTGTCTTCGACATGGGGCTTATTCCTGATAATATTGGTTTATTCGTCGCCGTGATCCGGATGAAGGAGGTACACCAGAAAGTACCGTGCATATCGTTGGCGTAAAACGCATCTTCCACCAGTTTGTAGATTTCTTTTGATAGAAGTGGAGAAGGGCTAGATGTCATGAGTTCCCCTGTAGTGTGGAAACTAACCGGGGGTAGGGTTATAGGCGTGTTATCGAGCTCTATTGTGGTGCACGTATACCATGTCTCGGTATCGACGGTGGGATCCTTTTTACTTTCGCTGGTTGTTGCCGATGCATTGACATTTCCGACCACAAAAGAATTATCTTCATCTAGTACACACCGTTCTAGAATCTGACTAGGCACTCCGATCACAGGAATGTTCAAATATTCGATATACTTCGCTGCAAGGACGGCGGCGGCTTGGTGGTTTCTGGCGCACCACGCCCAATGCAGGAAATTGAAGTACAGATCGAAGCTCTCGGCCGCAACGAGGTTTAAGTCCTTTTTGACGGTGTCCTCATTGATAAAACGTTGTTCGAAGGTGTGTCTATCCGTGAAGAGGCCGATGTCCGAGTAACGTGGGTCGTCGCCGTGGCCTGGTGCCGCACGAAGAAGACATATTCTCATGTTTTCGTGTGGCAGGGCTTAGCGAGGCCTAGTACCCGGTGTACGTAATGCGGGAGGATGTTTGTGTCAACTGGGGGTTAATTTTCGGATCCAGATACCCACAGCTCGTGGCACAGCTGGACGGGAGCTGAGATCGATCGAATCTTATATCCGTCCTCGTAATTTTCGAGGGTATGGTTCGATTCGACACCGCACTTGTACGTATACTTATCGTGCTTGGCTGGGATAAAGCTTAGCTTAGCCAACTCCGGTTACCCCGCGCCCAGGCCAGGCAGCGCTATAGATAACACTTGTAAGCAGGTACTTGAAGACTAGAGTCGATCCAAAATTGATATCACATCGGGTTAATTGGAAAAGAACTATATCAAACCAACCGTTGTCATTCTCCCTACCTGAAAGCCTACCGGGTTTGTATCATATTCTTCCGCTGCAGCTAACACCAATTCCCCCAAACATCATTCGTCGTCCTCGAGGCCTCATGCCGGGTATTCGAATAAGGCAGGTCCGCATCGCCGATCCTCTCGTGGCCTATTCAACCTATCGATACAAACGGCTACAAGCGAACCAATCAGACGCAATCGCGGCCTATCTCTAATCCTTGGCATCAGGTAATCCACGGCTCCACAGTTTCGACGGCCCCTCTCCGATGTTGCAACTGTGAACTTTGACTTGCATAAGCTCGATTCGACTCGAGTGAGCGGAGCTGAGGGTTTTGACATGCTGTAGGGCGTAGGGTTGAGCCGTGTATGTAGGATCAACGATTAGTGCCGTCTTGCATTGCCGTTAATTATTTGATATCATATTTAAATTTGCCCCTCCGTGTTGGGATTTCTAGATCCTCGAACGCGAATGGTGATATATAAGATCGGGTGCATGCCCTCGTGAGCAGGTTATATCCTTCTTCTCCCTCACTTTTCAAAAATATACATATCTTTCTCATATAATTTAAGAGTATCAGCCAACCAATGAGCTATATTTTATATAATATTTAAATCCTAAAAAAAGTCGCTTCATATATATTATAAGATACAATGCAAACCGCTTGGGCGACCGAACGTCGTAGCCGGTTCCCGGCAGTAGTGGGCACTAGCCAGGCGTATATGGATAACGCTGGCGGCAGTCAGGTTTTGGGCATTGTTATCGACTCGTGAGTTGATGCCGTCCCACCCATTGCTGAACTACCTGATATATACGAGTTTATCATATTCTAAATGGTATTCGGGGAATAGGATCAAGAACTACCTATCCAATACGAACGTCCAACTGGGGGCCTCGTACGTTGTTGGTAAACAATCGAACGACCTTGTGGCCGCCGGTCTATTAGCTTCCGCAAAGTTTATAAATGCGGACCCCGGGCAAGTTGGTGGGTACACTGCCTGATGCGATATCTGATATTTCGCTATATGCTGATGTAAAATACGAATATATATAGTTCTGGGCAGCGCATCAACCCAGCTCCTCCACAACCTCTCCTCCGCTCTAAGATTCCCACCGGGCAGCGAAATAATCGTCTCCTCCACCGATCACGAGACCAACATCGCCCCCTGGCTGCGGCTGGCAGAAAACCAAGGGCATACCGTCAAATTCTGGAACCCCTCCCCCGCCCACGAATGGACCCTCCAGCTCTCTGACCTCGAACCTCTATTGTCCTCTAAAACCGCCGTGGTAGCATTCACAAACTGCTCCAACATCACCGGTACAATCCATGACGTTAAGGCGTACGCCAAATTTATCAAATCGAAATCCCCGGAAACACTAGTAGCGGTTGATGGGGTAGCATACACCCCTCACCGTCCAATAGACGTCAAAGATTCCGGAGTTGATTTCTTCGTGTTCAGTTGGTACAAAGTATACGGACCGCATATCTCGCTCCTATATGCTGCCCCCAGAACACAGAAGTACATTACCCCGCTATCGCATTTCTTCAATCCAAAGGACACTCTATTTGATAAATTGAACTTGGCCGGTGGAAACTATGAGCTTACCGCTTCCTTGCCCCTACTCGCCGAGTTTTTGACGCCTGAGACGTGGGAAGGGATTAAAAGTCAGGAGGAAGTACTGTCGAAGACGTTTATAGATTGGGTGCTCAGCCGCCCAGACACAACTCTCTACGGAACCAAGCAAACGAGCAGCGAGAAGAGAGTCCCCGTGCTGAGTTTCTCCGTCAAGGGTTGGGGTAGCAAAGACCTTGTCGAGGCGGTGGAGAAGGAGGATCCGAGGTACGGTATCCGCTGGGGACACTTCTATGCGAAGAGGTTGATCGATTCCTTCGGATTGGAGAAGCCCGAGGAAGGGATTGTGAGGGTTAGTTTGTTGTTTTATAACACAGTTGAGGAAGTTGAGGGGTTGATCAAGGTATTCGAGAAGGTTTTGGGTGGGAAGTAAGAATCCTACCCTCGCGTCTCATATGATCATAGACGGATATATACCCGGATAGATCTATAGATCTATAGATATCGACGCATGGGCTCGAGCGTATCGGCTAAGGAAGCCAAGCGGGTTCGGGTTCAGAATGCATTGCTCATAAGGCTAATAATACCTGTTTGATAGCTAGTGTGCATCCTATCTAATTTATAATAAAGCACAATATTCCGAGGCCAGCTATCACCTTTTAGTTTTACTGAATCTCAGAAATGACCGGTCCTGGATTCCAGGCTGGACACGTCAAAGTAGTACAAACTGGTCTCGTAAATTATATATAGACGTAGACGCTGCGAATTAGTCTAGGGAATACGAAGCTAGTTGAGTATAGGCTATTGATAAACGACAATTATGTTATGGATCCTCTATAACTACAGTCAAGGCACCCTAGAATTAATGAGATATCGAGAGCGTTAAACTGGTGCCTATATTCATAGTCTCGTTAATATTATGAGAGGGATGTCATTTATATTTGGCTTCCAGGAGAACGCGTGTTGCTTGTTGTATTTCATCCATAAGTCCCCAGACGCCAAATAGTTTATGCATGTTGACACCACCTCAGCTCAGGTCGGAATTTGAAAGCCCTGAAAGAACAACTACAATTAAATCTGGGAACGAGACCAGTATCTATATATATTAGAATTTTGGTTCCGGAACTCTATGCCAATGAACTCTGAGATGTGGCACTACGTATTGCCGTATTCATGGCCACCATGATGAATTATATAAAATCTGTCTACCCCGCGATCCGATTGATCATGCACTACCAACATTATTATCAACTGTC